AGTAAGATCGTAAGCATATTTAACACAGTTGATTTCTTTCGAAGGAGGCAAGTCATGTAAAAAGAAAGGAAAATCAAGAGAAGTGTAAACAGTACCTTGAGAGACACCGGGTTTAGTAAACAAGGAAGATGGAGATTTAACCTTATAAACGGTATAGTGCTTACTGTTTGAGAAATAAGAATGTAACCAGTTAACAATGCAGGACTCATTTCGTGTCGTGAAAAAAGCTTAGTTCACAAATGACATCTAGTAAGAGACAGAAAAGCGGATGTATCGTCGAGGAATGAACGTCGAACACACCTAGCTGCCCTGTCTAAACAGCACACAGTGTTATGATCTATGGCAGCAGCAGTTCCACTTGTCATAGATACCTCATGAACTGATGTTATGCTTTGATTTGACTATGCCTAATTCATCTGCCTACCTGATTTTATGTTAGTCGACACTGCTTGATGTGAGGATGGTGATAGCTTGGTGTATGCCTAACACACATGTCCTTCATACATTTACTCCCCTTTATGAATTTAAACAAAGCAGAAACAATAAATGTTTGTTCAGAATAATATTATGAGGCTATCATTTATTTCGTCTCCTGATTCTCTTCAACTGCTTACAGCCTAACAGTTGATTACGTAAATGTACGTAGAATTCTGTCATCCTTGCAGGTTCTCGACATGGCTTTGCTTAACAGAGACACAAGTTAATCAACAGTGTTCAGAAGTTCCACTTCTATAACATATGAACGTGGGGTCAAGGTTCAAACAAACCATGTAAAATGGAAGAGTTAACAAATTGTAAAAAGTAGAGGTTGAGTGATTCCAGCTTGTCTTAACTTTTCAATATAGAAGGTGGTTAGATGGAGTGTTGTTTTCTTAGGAAACGACAAGATATAGGATGACGAAGAAAGGTTTGGTGGCATAGAACTAGATTCTTCACGAGAAGACAGGGATATCCTGGACCGACGTGAAGAACCTAGAAGACCTGGATTTCGCGCGTGGATGATTTATGTTTGATGTCACACAAAATCGAAGACTTACAAGCGAAATCCGACAAACTGGTCGAAGTAGCAGCAAAGACAGGACTCCAGGTGAACATAAACAAGACGGATGTTATGAAAATAACCAACCAACAACAACAACAACAGCAGCAACATCCAGCGCCAATCACCATCAACGGGAGGGATTTGAAAGAGGTTACTTCATTCACTTATCTAGGGAGCATTGTCTCAACCACAGGAGGAACGGACGAGGATGTCAAATCGACAATCGGGAAGGCGAGAAACACATTCATCAACCTGAAACCAATCTGGAAATCTTCCACTGTCACTCAGCATCAACAACAAAATTCGGATTTTCAATACAAACGTCAAGTCAGTCAGTTCTTCTATACGGATCAGAAACTTGGCAGCGGGTCACAAAGAATATTTCCAACAGCCTGTTGCAGACCTTTATCAACAACACTGTCTTCGTTCTATACTGAAGATTAGATGGCCGGAAAGAATCACAAACAAGAAGCTATGGGAAAAAACGAAACAGGAACCAATCGCCCAACAAATATGCAGGAGAAAGTGGAGATGGATTGGACACTCGCTGAGGAGGCCGCTGGGTGACATCGCGCGTCAGGCCAGTGCTCGAGTGGAACCCGAAAGGGAAGCGGTGAGAGTGGGACGTCCAAGAGTGACATGGAGGAGATCGTGTGAAGAGGAGTTGAAACAGTATGGACTAACATGGATGCAGGTGAAAAGTACAGCAGAAGACAGAAGCAAGTGGAGACGTGTAGTTGAAGCCCTATGTTCCACTAGGAACCCAAGGGAACAATAATAATAATATAAGGTGTTTAATACCTGAAGACACATAGATATAGATGAACTGAAAAAAAATGAATTTCTCTATTTGTGATCGTATTCTTATTTTTATACTCCTTTGTGTTTAAATCTGTTAAAACACGGAGGAAATTGATTTTTGCAATGAAATGAATTTAATTTATTCACATTCATTCATTCATTCGATTATTTATTTATTTATTTGAATAATTATGACCACTTTTCATTTTGACTATCGTTTTCTTTGAATTCTCCCCATTTTTCTATTTTTCTTGTTCTATTCTCTAAAATTATTTCATACAAAACTTTGAGAATAATTGATCAATCTCACTTGAAAAGGAGAAAAATAATCAAGAAAATCGTAGTTATTACTATTATTATTATTATTAGTAGTAGTAGTAGTGGTAGAGAAGTTACTTATTGGCATTTCGGAGATGGTTGATGGTAAGTAGTACGTGACTTGTGGGCAAGAAGGGGGAGGGGGCAATGGACACAGTCAGCAGTATTAGAAGTAGGGATAACTGATGCAGGGGGTGGGGCTGTGGAATGGGGATAAAAACGCTGAAATGATGGAGTTCAGCAATGCATGAATGAGTACGTTACAGTTTAGGACAAGATAAATAGATAAATAAATGTATTCGTATTCATAATAATAATAATAATAATAAGGACAAGGGATAAAATGGTTGAAAAAAGGGAATAATGAAATCTAATAGAATGGGAGAGATACAGAGAAGAGGGAGAGAGAATGAGGGTGAAAAAATCTCGCAGCAATAACTTTCCAAAGTTTATAGATAGTGAATGAAATTGAGTAATTCTCTACCCTTTGTAAAGAGATAAAGATTTTGTGTGCGTGTGTGTGGGAAGGATGTTATGGAAATAATTGAATTTGGAGATGTAGAACTCTTTGTATGCATTGAATATGCAAAAAACTATCATATATATACATCATTAAGCTACTCAGACCCAACCTAATGGCCAGTCCATGAATTCCAACTTCTGCCAATTCGTGTTATATGCTTATACCACAACCTCCAACCAGTATCACGGACGAGTGACTGTCCTCTTGCCTGTTGTAGTGGACTCCACTGCTTACAACTTCCCACTGGAATGACTCTAGGTAACTTACTGTATAAAGTGCCAGTAGTTAGTGAGCATCGGACAAGTTTCTGAAGCGTGTCGGACTAGGACGAAACAGCTCCCCAGCATTCCCTCTGGTTTGTTTTCCAAAGTTTCTCTAACCTACGTCAGCTCACGATGAAATCCTGTAGCCAATCAAATCAAATCTCTGCAAACCAGCACCTGGAGATATATACACATATACACACTAACGAATTAAGTCGTGAACCGACATCATTTAGACAGGCCATTGAAAACAACTAAGGATCACTGGACAAAACTGTTTCGTCCTATTTTTAGACTCTTCAACAGTTAGAATTCTAACCTCTGTCGATTCGTCATATAACACTACCCTATCTTACCCTCTAAGTTGTGATCCGTAGGGTACATCCATCATGAGTCAAGGTGACATGGATGTTCCCTGAAAACACTGGTGAGTGGAAATCTCTGTTTCATGTATAAGTCAAATGTTTCCTTGTCCAACATTCGGTTAGTTCTAGAATTTCATAGATCTGACTGCCAATTTAGCAGCTAACTCACAGTGAAAACCAGTTAATTATAAGTGTATCATGTGTAGACGTATCACGGTTGTGTTTAAAACACTAAAATAACATTTCACTAATTATTTAGGAGTCAGGTAGTGAGGAAACAGGCATAAAATGGACTCACACAAAAAACTTAGAGGATCTAGACTTCGTCGATGATATATGTCTGATTTCTCACAAACTGGAAGATATGCAAGTAAAAAGCAACAAGTTGGCGATAGAAGAAGAAGCATCAAAAATAGGAATTCAGGTGGACATAGGGAAAACAGAGGTGATGAAGATTCCTGGCCAAAAGCAACAGCAGCAACAACAGACAACAATCAGCATAAATGGAAGAAGGCTAAAAAAAGCAACCTCCTTCACCTACCTACCTACCTCTGGGAAGCATCGTTTTAACTACAGGCGGGCGGCTTTGATGCGGATATCAAAGCGAAGATTAGGAAAGCAACGCAAGCTTTCATTACTCCCAAGTATGTGTGGAGGTCAACAGCACTCAAAATGAAAAATAACGTCCGGATTTTCAACTCCAATGTGAAGTCAGTGCCACTTTATGGATCAGAGACGGCGCGTCATGAAGAACACCTCAAACAAACTACAGACCTTCGTCAACAGCTGTCTTCGTTCAATACTCCGCTCAAGATCAGATAGCCGGCATAAAAGATCATCAGTAGGAATCTCTGGGAGCGAACCAACCAGGAACCGATTGTGCAACAAATCTGCAGGAAGAAATGTAGGTGGATTGACCATGGTCTGAGAAAACCATCAAGTTACATCACTCGACAGGTCATTGCTCGAGCGGAAGCGGAATGGGAAGCAGCGAGTTGTGCGTCAGTGCGATGGTGGGATGACATGGAGGAGGTGATGTGAAGAGGAGATGAACGCATGTGAGCAGACGTGGAGCCAGGTGAAAACGTTGGCAGAGTACCGAACTCAATAGAGACGTACGGCTGAGGCCCTATGTTCCCCTAGGAACTAAAGGAAACAATAAGAATAATAGGAGTCACTAAAAAATTATTCTTTTAATAGATTGTGTTTTAAAAACTGTCCGAAAAGCCTAGCAACAGAGTAAAGTCATCAGCAAAATATTTTAAGCTTATAAGTTTCCAGACCGTAGGTGTTACGAACTTCGTGGAATAATTTGAGCGCCGAGTCAGATTGATTCAATTTAAGGTTGTGCATTTATTCTCTTCGAAAGAATTTTTTCATAGGATCTACTGATTCTAAGTGTACCTTTTAAACAAAAGTGATAATTAATTGTTCACTTAATTGGATAAGTCATTGACTTTTGAAACTATGGGCGGTGGATTTATGTCTCATTGGGAACACTGTTATTCATCAGTGGGGATCCAGGTTCATGGAACGCGTATCCCAGATTCTTCTGTCAGCTGTCGCTAACCAAGCAAAATCAATAATTACTCGAAAGATATGCACTGCTACTGTGTTATTCGTAGACAATGATAATTTAAAACATTTTGTTATAAGTGTAAAACAGTTTTTAAAAAAAAACGACTTACCGCTGTAATACCAGAACTTTCACCCAACCGTTTCAATGTTTCAATTTCAGCATCAATACGATCTAATTTAGCATTTACTGCAGGATCACGATCAGTCCAATCAGTGTCAACAGATGTCATTGTACCATTTCTTAGTGTACCATCTCGACTATCTAATCCAACTGACTGTACACCTGTCATACGTTTTTCACGACCTATAATACAATTCAAACAATAATATTAATAACGTTTAGTGGATATTTCAATATTATTATTGGATAAAATTAAGCTGTAATAATGTTATTATAGAGCCTTATATTTACCACTTATTATACACAGGGTATTGTATGAGTATGGCTCGTTAACTCAGGGACCTTGAGTTCTAAGTACTCGATCAAGAGTCCTAACCCTGTTCCACCCACTCAGAATGGACTGATAGTTGTTGTCTTGACGTGGTAATCGTGCTGACATATCGCTATAATCCAAAGAGTTATAATGGCTGGCGTAAATGTGATATCCGATTAGCTATCGATCAATCGACGGTTTTACTACTCACCAGTTCACCCCGTCCTCTTTTATCACTGTGAGTGAGACATCACCATGGAAAGTGGAAGACATGAAAAGCCTGCCCAAGTGAATTTCATCATAAGTGTCTGCATTCTATTTCTCTTGTTGGGTAGTAGGTGCAATAGGGTGAGTCATATTGAGGTGAGGCATCAGTCGAGATTATGAAGTTACATAGAGAATCCTACGATGAAATGAATGATGGCCTCATATTATTCGGCACAAACATTTATTGTTTCTGTTTTGTCTAAATTAATAAAAGAGAATAAATGTATGAAGGGCATATGTGTTAGGCATCATTATTATTATTATTTATATTATTGTTATTATTTCCTTTAATTCCTAGAGGAACATAGGGCATCAGCTGCACATCTCCATTGCGTTCGGTTCTCTGCTAAAGTTTTCACCTGGCTCCAAGTCTGCCCACATGCTTCCATCTCCTCTTCACATGACCTCCTCCAAGACCAACTCGCCGCTTCCTTTCGAGTTCCATTCGAGGGCTTGTCTAGTGATGTCACTTGATGGTTTCCTCAGAGTATGGCCAGTCCACCTACATTTTTTACTGTAGATTTGTTTCACAATCGGTTCCTGGTTGGTTTGCCCCCAAAGATCCCTGCTGCTGATCTTTTCTGGCCATCTGATCTTGAGTATTGAGCGAGGACAGCTGTTGATGCCCTGTAGTTTGTCTGAGGTGCTCTTCATGACGCACCAAGTCTCCGATCCGTATAATAAGTAGCCTTGACTTGAGATTAGAGTTGAAAATCCGGATCTTTTCTTCATTTTCATGCTGAGTGCTGTTGACCTCCACACAGGCTTGAGAGTAGTGAAAGCTTGTCTTGCTTTCCCGATTCTTGCTTTGATATCCTCGTCATTTCCGCCTGTAGTTGAAACGATGCTTCCCAGGTCTGTAGGTAAAGGAGGTTGTTTCTTTCAGGTTCCTTCAATTTATGCTGATTGCCGTCTGTTGTTGTTGCCCAGGAATCTTCATCACTTCTGTTTTCTCTATGTTTACTTGGAGTCCTATCTTTGATGCTTCTTCTATCGCCAACTTGTTGCTTTTCGCTTGCATATCTCCCAGTTTGTGGGAAATCAGACATATATCATCGGTGAAGTTCAGATCCTCCGAGTTTTTTGTCAGGGTCCATTTTATAGCTGTTTCCTCGCTGCCCACTGTGTGTCACATTATCCAATCTATCGCAATCAGGAAATTCATTGGAGGTAGTAGGAAGCCTTCCTTGTCTTACTCTCGTCTTTATTTCGAAGCATTCCGTAAGTTTCCTGTTGTGGATTACTTGGCATGTGCACTTTTCGACTGTCACGCTAAATTTACCCAGTTACATAAAACTCTTATTTCTGTTGAGTTTCTTGCCAAAAGGTTGTGGAACTTATTGTGTTAGGCATACACTAAGCTATCACCATCCTTACATCAAGCAGTGTCCCCTAACACATTGGCCAATGAATTAGGTGTAGTCAAATCAAAGCATAACATCAATCCATGAGGTGTGTATGACGATTCAGATTGCTCCTGCCGTACACCGTAACGTTGTTTGCTGTTTAGACAAGGCAGCTAGGTGTATTCAATGTTCTTTCATTGAACATACATCCGCTTTTCACTCTGTTACCAGATGTCATTTGTTAAATAAGCATTGCATAACACCAAATGAGTCCTGGACAGTTAAGTGGTTGCACTCGTATTTCTCAAGCAGAAAGCAGTATTCTGTTTATAATGGTGAACCTCCCTCTTCTTTATTTACTGAAACTGGTGTCCCTGAACGTCCTGTTCACGTATTTCCTCATTTTTCTTTCCTCTTACATTACTTGTCTCCTTCAAAAAAAATCAGTTTCGTCAAATATGCTTACAATTTTACTTTCTGGTTGCCAATTAACTTCCGAGCTTTCTTTCTTCTTCATTCCTTTACGTTTCCAGTGGAACATAGGGCTTCAAGCTAGAGGCTTGAAGTTTCTGTAGCAGTGTTTACTTTTACGAGATGGGGTTGCTAGCCTCATGCCCAACCTTCCCTCTTTGCCAGTTCTATTACTAGCTTAGCGAGGTAAAGGAGTGCGTCGGTCGGGGATCGAACCCCGGACCATGTGCATGGTTGGCGAGCGTCCTAACCGCTGTGCCACCGACGCACACCTTCCGAGCTAACTATTCCGAACTGAACAGTTTTGTGTCCAACATTAGCCAGTAGTCTAAGCTGAGTGGTTTTACGTCAAATGTCAAACAGTTAACTGTACCTTCAGGAATAAACCTAATCTCAACAAACTCATTAGTTCACAAGGTGCTTGGAGCTTAGAGGATACTGATATAGAGAATTAGTCAAGCATTAAATACCTTGGTATCGTTCTATCCACTGAGCTTTCTAGCTCATCCCATATCATGTCTGTGTCTAAGAAAATACTCCGTCTAACCACCTTCTACATTGAGAAGTTAAGACAGTCTGGAATTACTCAACCTCTACTCTTACTATTTGTTAACTCTTTCAACTTAGCTATTCCTCTTTACTGCTACCCTCAGCTAGTTGTTTGCTGGAGTACTAAAACTATTGTGAAGAGTAATAAAAGCTGTTAGTAGAGCAGGTGGCGTACCACTTATTCAGCTGGTTACTAACATAGTTGCCGGACATCTGAGATCAAGTGCGACACGGTCTAATTCCATATTGTCTGAAGACTGTCAACACTCTCCACCTCTATTCACAATTCTACTCTGCTTGCATCTCATTAGGTAGGAGCAGAAGTCGTTGTGAAAGATCATATGCTCGCTCGTACAACCGAGCATATAACTCAACGATTCCCTATTTGACCGACCCGCCAGCGTTCTATGTGTAATTAGCATAAAAAGTGGCTGAGTGATTCTCCTATATTTGTTATTTTATGCTGACACTTACCATCCCCATTATCTTTTAATTTTACGACAATAATACTAATATTATTATTCTTTTCGATAATTTCCTCTTCTGGCTTCACAATTATGTATGAATGTTTATATACATAGAATAATCTAGAATAGTAGTCAATAACATTATTAGTGTTCTTTAAATAATATCGATTTGTTAAGTAAGATCAATGGAATTACAGTTCATTAAAGATTCCTAAATTATAATAATAATTATTATAAAAATATAATAACAAATAGAATATTAAGTAAAATTAGGGCAATTTCTACAAAAATTGAGGATCATTCGAACCTAAATGGCCAAGCGAATAAGGACAATGTCTGAACTAGCTTCTTCTTTTGGACGCATAAATTAGGCATCTTAATATGGATCCCAACGGCCAGCCTCAGCAACATTTAGTAAACGAACTCTTAAGGCGAAGTTGAGATTTGTTGGTTGGTATGCGGTAAATGACTTTGAAAGCCGCCTCGTTGACATCAATCTTGTGCTTTCTATCCACAAGATGAGATAGATTAGCGCTACGAATAGATTTGGTCGGTCCTTCACTTAGCCAACAATGCACGATGATGTTCGGAAATCCGACGAGAAACACGCCTAATTCTGCGGCCTATGTAATTGGCTCCACAGGAGCAGTCAAACTGATAGATACACATGGAAGAGGCGAAATTAAGCAGTTTATCTTTTTCTTCCGAACGTGAAATAAAGGTGGTTTTGAAGATAAATCGTAATTCACCAGCAGAGAATGTTCTTTTTACCACAATGTTAAGGCATTATGTTAGTAGCTCGCTGATGTTGTCCCCGAGGAACTGAATTAGTAAGAATAAGGCCTTTTTAGGAACACTGTTAATACCTTGGTCTGCTTTGATTTTAGATTCATATTCTTATCAAATAAACTTTTCTGGATAACGGTTGTTCAGTGAAAACGGTTAGCCAGAAAAGTTTATTGATAGCAATATGAATCTATAAACATTTTATCTTTATTTGACATTTTGACCTTAATGTTTCTTCAGGTAATGCCAAACATTGTTCATGTTATTCATTTTGATGAAGTGAACCCTTTAATTGGTTGTTCTGTTGGTGTTGGTGTTGTGGTAGGGTGGTGATTCCTCAGTAAATTAGATGGAATAATGTTGTACAAAACGCTGAAAATTCCACACTGTTTTGGAATAAACCAAATCAATATTATTATTATTATCGTGCAAACTGCCAAATAAGAAAAAGTTAATCAGTCAGTCAGATTCAGACATGCATTACTACCCATGAATAATAAGGATACAGAAATTGTATCACAACCTTCAAATCAAGCCTACAAATTTAATAGTGTGAAATATTACCATATCATGAATTAAACGTCAATCTGAACGAAGAATATTCTTTTCAATAATTTCTCCTCTTCAGGTTCTTACAATTATCAAATATGTAATATTTGTTGTCGTTACAATAATGGCCAGTTATGCGGCGCACGATTAGGCAGGTTCGTCTACGGGTTCGAGAACATTTACCAGCTTGGTTCAACAGGAGGGGGGAAAGTAATTGCATAAAGAGCTCGATCCTGTCACACTTCGTCGATACTGGACATCGCATCGATGTCAACACAACTTTCAGAGCTACATATCGAATTCCAAAGTCGTTATCACGTACAGTTAGTTCACTTACGTCTCCTACACATAGCTGAAGAAGCTGTTGCAATAAGATCGACTAAACCGGAACTTTGTATCCAAAAAGAACACGTCCAGACGCTGTTCCTACTGTGGCCAAACTTGGATTGATGATTCTTCTTCTCACCAAGAGTGCTTCTTCCCCTTAACCCTCTCGGTTTTTTTGACTTTTTTCTCTTTGCTTATTATTACAATTATTATTATTATTATTCGTCATAATTTATGCCCTTCATGCAAACATTCTCTCAATACTATCGAATTTTTCCTCTTATAATATCTGGACTTATTATTATTAGTGATATTATCTCTTTTCTCAGTATATGTCTCCACCTGTTTCATTTCACCACATATTGGTTATTTCATTATGAACCTCTCATTGCAGTCTTACTATCTCCTCCTCTTTAATACATACCACTCTGTACTAGCCACTCCATCACCTCACACGCTTAATAACCTTGAACTCACTAAATTGTCAATTTTTGCTACCCCACATTCTACAAATCTGTTATGATTAATCACCTTTGTCTCCCGTTTTACAATATTTTGTAATCGATTTCAGCCTAGCACGTTTGTCACACAAATACGACTATTTATTTTGTCACCCCATAACTACTAATCTTTTATTCTACGTTAAAAAATGTATCCGTCGCACAACTGGCCATTATTATTGTAACGACAACAACAAATTTTATATTTTATAATTGTAAGAACCTGAAGAGGAGCATCTATTGAAAAGAATATTCTTCGTTCAGATTGACTTTTAAGCCCACAAATGATTTGATTTTGTTCATATACTTACGTTTATCAATCATAACAACAGCTGGGGAAGGTGGAGCTGGAAAATCATAACGTTCTATAGCTGGTAAACTATTTGAATCAGGTATACGTGCATTTGGATATGAAGCCAGACGTCTTGCTTCAGACCAATAAAGAGCTGCCGATGGTGGACTAGCTGTACGATCAACTCGTGGTCGGACAAGAGATTCCGCTAAATGAAAATAAATGAATGAAGAAGACAGGAAATAAAATCATCGATGAAGACAATTTGCAAAGTTTGAAAGTAAAAAACACCAAGAATTAACTCGAAGTCAATAGAATATTCCGATTTTACGACGAAGAGTCGTCTTTTTCGCTGTCTTCAGAGGATTTTGTGACTGTGCATCTGCCAAGGAAGTTTCGAACAGCTGTACAAGACGCTGTAGGACGTAAAGATTGGTCAGCTCCCCGCGTTTAGACACCATAACAAGTCAGTTTTGGTTGTCACTTACCTGTCAGCTTTCGATGACAAGATAAGGCTCGTTGGCTATTCAGAATTCAATCACCCTTGAATTTTAACTATCACTGAGACAATTTGGCCAATAAATGGAACAATAATACTTAGATGTTTTTGTCAAAATAGACAATTACAAAAAGCCGCTTCATCTAATACGCACACACACACACACGAATACATTTAAACAATCTTGCAAACAGTCTGTGAACGTGTGCGTTAGACGCGTGTGTTAGGCGTAACAGAAAACATTTAAAAGTTCAAAATATTCATGCTGTAAGTATAATAAAAGCCCTGCTGTCTGTCTGTCTGTTTTCAACATAGAACTTTGCACCGATGTGCAGCAGTTCAAGTCGCCACACTCCACTCCTTCTAGCACACAAAGCAAGAGAAGAAAGTAAAAAGAAATGCAAAATAGAGACAGTAGACAGGGATATGAGATAAAAAGAATAGTAATAACGAAGAACAATATAGTTTTATTAGAAATTATAAGTCACAAGGAGTGTATGCATCTGCGCCAGATATTGAGAACGAATTTGAGCCATATCACCGATTGTCTCCAGCCATTGGTTTCTACCGTCCAGAGGACCCCAACCAGGAAGTCTACAGCTTCCTACGTGGCTGGCTGGCTTAAACTAACTGTTGTGAATTTCATTGGCTGATGAAGTTATGTTTTGGTTTGACCACCGTGTGCTAGCTCTTTTCCAACCTGACCCTATGTCAGCTAACATTGCCCGTTGTCGAGGAAAGTGATCACTAGGCATGCGTAACACATGTCCTAACCATCTCAATCGATGTAACTTCTCAGCCCCGTCGATTGATTTCCCCTCATTAACTAGAACTCAACGCCTAACCTCAACATTGCTCACCCTATTATACCATTTCGCACGGGAGATAGAACACATGCACCTATGATCAAAGACAGTCATCTAGTGTTGTCATTTCCCCCGCTCTTAATGGCCACGTCACCTCCAAGCCATTAAGGAGGATGGAGCGGACTGCTGAGCAGTACACTCGCCTTTTGGTCGATAGCCGGATATCACGATAATAAAAGCCCAATAACTTAAAACTTTTAGTAGATTGGTAGATAGATAGGTGGATATGCAAGAGTATGCCAAGGTAAGCTGTAGCAACAACCAAATGAAAACGATTGATGGAAAGTTAGTAAGGTATTTACGGAAGGGGAAAATTTTCCTTTTTTGTTTTTGATATATTTTATACTTTGAAAATAAAAAGAAAACTGATTAATCAAAACAAAACTACTTCAACACTGTGGCTTGCAGTGCCCAACTGTTTATCAACCTCATTCAACAACTATACGACAATGCAAAGTGTCAGGTAATCCACAACGGAAAACTCACCGAAGTCTTATAAGTGAAAACAGGAGAAAGACAAGACTGCCTATTATCACCGATGATATTCCTAATTGTGCTTAATGGGATTATGCAGCACACTGCACTTGGAGAGCGAGAAGTCAGGAATACGCTGGAACGATAAGGAGAATCTAGAAGATCTGGATTTCGAGGATGATTTGTGTCTGATGTCATATAAACTTGAAGAATTACAGGCGAAAACCAACAAACTGGCTGAAGAAGCAACCGCCAAAGACAGGAATTCAAGAGAACATAGAGAAGACAGAGGTGATGAAGATAACCAACCAAGAGCGACAAGAACAACTATAACCATTACTGTGACAAATTTGAAAGAGGTCACTTTCTTCAGTGATCTACGCAGTAAGCATCGTCTCGACCACAGGCGACAGTGCGTATGAAGATGTCGAAGCCAGCTAGAATCGGAACTGCAAGGTACACTCTCATCAATCTGAAATCAGTGTACGAATCTTCTGTACTTCTGAGGATAAACAACAAGATTCGGATTTTCAACATCAATGTGAAGTCAGTCAGTCACGTCTTCTATATCGATCAGAAACTTGGCCAGTGCATGGAGAAAAGCATTTCCAACAGCCTGCTGCAGAATTTTATCGACATCTGCCTTCGCTGACTCCATATTGAAGATCGATTGGCCGGAAAGGATTAGCAATAAGCAACTCTGAGAATGAACCAACCAAGAACCTTTTGCTCAACAAATATATAGGAGAAAATATTGAGATGGATTGGGTACACTTCATTGAGGAGGCCGTCGAATGGCATCGCGCTCAATGCAGGCCATTGCTCAAGTGGAAGGTGATTGGGAAGCGACGAGTAGGTCGTCGGTGTGAGGGTGACACGGAGGAGATCATGAAAGGAAGATGAGATGAGAGATTATGGGCAATCGTGGACCAAGTTGAGGAGGACAACGAAAAATAGGACAAAGTATTGTTGAATCCCTATGTTCCACTCAGAACCCAAAGGAATAATAAATAAATAAATAAATAAGTTGAATATCAACAAAACTTAGTTGAGCGAACTAACTAACTAACTAACCGACTAACTCACCAAATAAGTTAGAATAATTTAGAAATCACGCGTTTTTGTCTAATTTCTGTGTCATAAACAACAAGCCGAATGAATAAACAAGAAAGAAAAAACGGAAGAGAAAAGAACCATGTTAAGGATGCAGAGTTGAATCGGAGAAAGAGAGAGAGAGAGAAATGTAAATTTTTTCTCAAATCTCCGCATCGAATTGTGAGTGTATCTTTGTGTGTGTTTGTGTGTGAATGAGTGAGTGATGAGTGTTAAGCCTCATTAAGTATTCGAAATACACTCACACACAACCGACAGAGAGGAAAAAGTAACTGAGAAATTGGTCATTCACCGGATAATTACTTAACTGTTAACACAACGCGATAGTAAATTGGTTTTCACACTGACAATAACAACAGCAACGTCCATCACACAGACACATAAACACACCTCAAAGGAAGGAGAAAACATCAATCAATACCAAACCGATAATCTCAAAATAATACTTAAAAATTAGATGAGAAGAAAAAATTTGAGTAGAGTAAGATTGTAACGACAGAAGACAAGGGCCAGACAACAGATCGTTTATTGGGAAAATAAACAGATATCAACGGATATTTATAGATTTTTATGTACATTATTGTTAGCGTTATTGCTAGCAGAGAAGCAATGTCTTCTGATTGGTTGTTTTCTTGCTGTGAAGGTTATTCTGTACTGCTTGTGACCGTTTCTCAGAAAGTTAAGCCATTTATCTGCGAATCGTATTTGTACACGTTAAGTCTGCTGTGATTGGTTGGTGAGTATATTAAGCTTTATTATTGCTTTTTTCTCATTACCCCGATTCGGGGCGTGAACATTGACGTAAACTGTTTGTCTACAATTTTGGCTTGTTTGCAGCCAGCTGTCACCACAAGATCTATCAGATTGGACACTCTAGGTAGGTCCGTGGTTTTGGTGCAGAGTGAATTCTATCAAAGTTAAGTTTCGCAATGTCTTCACCATGTTAGGTGGTTCACCATCATGGTGCACTCTAAATTGTTGTCATTAGGTGGTTGAAGGTAATTGGCAGGAAGTTGTGGACACCTAGGCTTCATGATTGTTGAGCTACTTTTCAGTCGGCAAGGCGTATCTGCAATTTTGAGGGAATACATATCTCTTCTTGATTCGACTCCATGTTCCCCGGTGCTGCAGATAGAAACGTTACCACTGAGCTATTTGGGCTGACGACTGATATCCTGTAAGACTGTAATGTATACTTTGATTGGAAACTGGATAGTATTAAAGTTGTGCTTCCACTTCTTTGTTCTAAAGCAGATTGGATTCTAGTTCTAAGGGATTCCACCTGCTGACTGTCTCCAACAGTCTAACAGAGTAAGATCTCATCATATATAAATATATATCAGCTTGGAAAACTGGATAACGCAAGTATGTAAGGCTCATATTACGGTACCAAGTAACTAAATTCTGCCTAACACACGAAAATGAAAGAAATGCTAGGGGACAAACAATATTCTAATAAAACTTTCAGTGATGTGAAATGATTTGGTCCTCTGAACTCATTCAAACCTAGTACGCATACACACACACCTCTGATGAGCTCGACCGAAAACGAGCAAAACGGCTGTCTAGTGTGTTTAGACCACTTTTATGTCAGTCTGGCTAGCTAGAAACCATTAGTGATTATTGTAAGTGGCCCCAGCTATGTCTATATATATATATATATATATCATTTAAGTGTTGGTTTGCAATCATTTGATTGGTTTCGGAATTTCATCATGAACTGCCATCGGTTAGAGGACCATTGAAAAACCTGGCAGTACTAGACAGCTGTCTCCTCTGAGTTTGGCATTCTTCAGGAATATGCACTCACCCAGGACCTTCTGGTTACAAGTCGAGCTCTTATACCATTCAGCCACTGGGAGCCGTTCCAGTGGTTCGTGAATATATATATATATATATACATATACTAACTAACGAAAGATCGTTTGGCATTTGACAACTTACACAATCTGTGGTTTAGTAGACGTGATAGCTGACTGGCCATCAATCAATCAACGTTTATGCAGCTCAACACTTCAACCCATCCTCCTTTATCACTGTGAGTTAGACATCGCCATGGAAAGTGGAAGACATAAAAAACCTGACTACCTGTCTTTCATCATAAGTGTTTGCTTTCTATCTCCCATGTTACGTGATAGGTGTATTAGGATGGGTAATATTGAGGTGAAGCATCGGTCGAGAGGTAGATTAAGAGGGGAAATCAATCGACTAGCTTGTGAACTTACATCGGTTGAGATATGTGTTACACATGCATGC